TCATCAATTAGTTTTTTATTGGAAAATCATTTTAAAATTTAATATGATATTGGACTAAGCATTGTCTTCCTTTGTTGTTTCTTTCATGATATGTTTGTCGTTCTAAATTCATGCTTCTATTACTCCTACAGGTCGCATCAATTAAGTAAGATCACTTTGTCTATTGTCTATTGAAATATATTTAATTAATTTCTTATTCCAAAAATTTTTTTTTTTCTAATTACGTAGGGTACAAATTTTTTGACTGATCATATGCAAATGGTAAAAGCAAAGAATAATGATATTTTCTATTTGAAAATAAATAAAAATATGGCACGAGTGCAAGTAGATTGTGAAAGTCAAATTTCAGAGGGAAACAAAAAAGAATCTTCTACAACTACATTTTTGCCGCAATTTGAATGTGTCCACACCAAGGATATCTATACTTGGAATAAATATGTTTATGTCCTTAATTTGTAAAAATTAATGTAACATGGACGTGACATATTGTTTTGAAGCACCAATTCCATATCCATTATAAAAATCATTTCAAAAAGACTATATAAAGGAAATTTAAAATTGTCACCAGTAATGATCTTTTTATTGAAGAAGGGAATTCTTCTAAAATTAAATACTGCGTACGTATGGCACAGGAAGGCGGCAGCATCAATGCAAAGATCTCAATGACGATATGAATTTGGTATAATTATGGGGAATCTATATATTGGAAAGGCGTATGATTTATAAAGATTTTAAAAATCAAAGTAAAATACAAATATTAGCTTAGCTGTTTCGTATCTGTTGCTCTCTGATTAAATACATTGTTTGTTTCTATAATAAGGAGTGGTTATTAGGTGTGTGAACTCAATAATCATGTCGATCGAGCAAGCACTAATCGCTTTAAGAAAGAGAAACCAATGTCGTTGAGAGGGTGAGTGATCACTTGATTAATTATTTGTTGATCTCAAAACAATCATCATTAAAAAAATTAAGCAGCCTAACGAGTGTGGCTAATACTTTTCCATTGTTGATTTGTTTATTAGTTCGTAGAACTGTCCCTAATGATGGCCAACCCCTTTACTTTTTAAGATTCCCTTCTCTAATTGTATAGAAAAAAGGACTTTCTTTTCGAAAGTTTGTACGGGCTTTTGTATCTGTGTGGACGCGTTGATCAATTAAGGCAACGTTATGATGAATAGGGTCCCTATTTCCTAATGCCCTACGTCCCCCCAACTACTAATAAAATCCGGGATCCTGTTAACTCAAATTGTGGTTTAGGCCTAATTCTCTCTTTTCGATTTTAATAACTTATCTTTTACGTGGATTGTTGGGCATACCCCTAAGTTAAGCTTTCCACAATGGGGAAAGTAGGCAAACGAGAGGCTTTCAATTTTTTTTTTCTTAAAAAGTGATACCAAACAATGAGTTGAGGTCTGGGTGCATGCAACTTCACCCAATCCTTTCCTCAGTTGTAGCTTTAGTGCTGTTATATGCGGTATATATTCTAAACCCTAGCCAGAATACAATCAAATTAATTAAGTTCTCTCCCATGCCATCCGCTTTTGGGAAAGTTGAATGTCATATACTGCTCTTAACGGCACAAATTGAACCCAAAAGAATATTGGGATGTTCGTATAACTGAGCTTTACTGATTGTCTAATTTGAGAGCTTGTCCGAAATTGAGGTGACCGTAATCTCAAATTTCAATGGGCCACACAAACGTTGCAAAATTTCATAATACCAGAAGAAGACATCTTGGCACACGAAGTATACTCCAATTATAAGTTTAATAATTGCTTACCAAAATAGTAATGATTCTAATGAACTCAAACAATTTGTCAATTTGGTGATCATCGAGAGGGGCTGTGAGAATTGTTAATCATTGGGAACTTTGATATTTTCAGTAGATAGTTAGTGCCTGATGCACGGTTATCAACATTAAACGTCATTGATCCAAGACTGTTGCATCGATCTAATGGTGGTGAGTACCAAATCAAGAAAAATTAAGGCATATGGTTTGTGCCAAAAAAGGAACATTAAAAAAATGGTAGGGTAAATTATATGTTTAGTTGATTAATTGTAGGTAAGTGCCCCAACGGAAATTAGATTAAATTATTAAAAGAACAAAAAAATAATCCAATTGAAGCGTTAATTAAAAGTGAAAAATGGGAATTCTCAACAACAAAAAAAAAAAAAAAAAAGAAAAGAAAAAGAGTGTAGAATGAAAAATTAGAAAAAAAAAATGGAATACCGTTAATATTTCCCAAAGTAGCCCACCATATATACGCAGTCGCCTAAGGTGTCAAATGGGTTGGGTGTCTTATAACACGATATGATTTGATGCAATATAGATTGTATTTAGTATGATCTATTATTAAATAATCAAGCTGAGTTAAAGCACGATACATATATGTGTGTTATGTTGGATTAAATATTTTTAAATTCATGAGTCGATACAACCCGTTAAAGGTCAGTACCAATATGTTGCACGTGAGTTAGTATAACATGAAACATAAGCTCAAATGTGCCGTGCCATGTTATTCCGTAAATGTTATAAATGGGCACGAGCTTCTAGTATTTGAATGTATTCATGCTATTTTTTATATTATAATGAAGTTATATTTATTTTTGGATAATTTATAAAATAAAATTATATTAAATAAATTTACTTATTAAACATTTAAATTACTGATAGATAAATTATATCTAACTAATTTGTGAACCGTTCAATATATGAATTATTTTTATTTATTTGAATTTATGCGTATAAAATACATTAACATTCTTTTCAAAATTATATGATTAAAATATTCAAACTTATAACATATATATATATATATAAATAATTGTAAAACAAAAAGAGAGATTGGTTATATGAAAAGGCATCAAGAAAAATACAAAGCTACATCTGCTACTTGATTTCAAACAAACTACATTTAGTCAGCATCTAATGAATCTTTAGGTGCATTTTATTTTTTACAAGATAATTGACGTAATCAATTAGCTAATTTTATAATATAGTTTGAGCAGCCATTTGTTTTTATAGATGATAAATGTTTTAATTATTTAATTAGAAATGGTATAATATCCAATTATAAATCAGTTTCAAGAAATACTGATAGATTATATGCTTTTAAAAAAAATTTTCTTTAAAAAAACTTTAATATCTAGTTTATTAAAAATTTCCTTTAGAATTTCACTTACTTCTCATATTGGACCAATTGGCAAAATCTTAATGATATGTGTATTACTAAACATTGGATAGATGATACACATGTGTGTGTGTTTTTAAATATTAGGATTGCAATTTTAATATATTTATTTAGTGGATTCTATTACCCATTTTTGTGAATGTAGATATTTTATTGAACTACATAAATTATGTGTTCTTTTTATTTCATTCTATATTTATTATCTGTTGCATATTATTCTCAATAATAATAGATTGAAAACTTTTTTAAATAATTAAAATTTTGAAAAATATTAATAGGTTGTACTTGACCCAGCTCAGCATAAAAAATAATACTGTGTTTAGCATGACATGACTCAAGAAAATTACAAAATACGTGTCATATTGAATTATATCCTTAATCTTCATGGATTGTGCCTGCATAGCACATTAAAAAATAGTATTGAACTGACACCTTTAAGTCGCTACCACCTTTGCCCTTGCAGGCAATCCCTATTATAAATACGCATTCAAGAAGTCTCTTTACAAAAACAAAAAGAAAACTCCAATCAGAGTTGTCCATCATCCATGGCTGTCTGTAACTTATACATTTCTCTAATGTTCGCATTTCTAGTCACATTATTAGGCAGAGGGAGGCACATGTTAAGAATAAAATAATAAATAAATAATAGTAATTTTATAAAAAGAAAGGAAACGTTAATCATATGCCATGCCTATGTATGAATGAACGATACACTTTTTGGCTATAGTAAGAATAATAATGAAGAGAAACCTTATTATTTGTTTGGTGGATTCCTTTCCCTCTTCCTTTGAGGATGGCGGCAGATATAAAATAATAGCTTCAAGATAAGTTCAAGTCATTTCTTTGTCGTTTAGCTGTTATCTCTAGTTGATTTACCAAAAATCAAAGATACAACAGCAATGAACAAATAAAAAAATATTGGTCATAAACAAAAGAAAATTCACAAACAATTTCCTGTTCTATATATTTTGAGGTTTGGAACATAACAAATTAAACAAATACAATACCATGTCTTCAACCAAGAACCTCGTAAGGGATTTGGATATGCATACCTTAATTTGAATATTTGGAAAGACTAGTAGTAATTGAAGTCAATATTGCCTCCATCTATATATGATATGAAAGGCTCATGCATGGTTATCAATCTCATATTTTTCTTTTATATATATATATATAATTACTCTATTTGTTCCAAATGTGTATATATCTTTGTCTCGAGTTATTGTAACCATTTCCTCCAAAAGCAACCACATACACTTCAAATGCAGAAAACGTATATAACTCCAAATATGTTTTTCCAGAATGACTTCAATTTGGTGGATCCTATATGTCATACGCACCCTCTTTAAATTTTATTCAGGTTGTGAAAGAATGATTAAGATATGCATTGCAGTTCATTACCATAAGCAAGAGGAAGTTAATTAGTTTGGGTTTGTTGCCAGATAACTCATGATGCTATTGATTAATTGTATGACTATTGATCATCTATCTATAGTAATTCCCACTTCCCAGTCTAAAAATGTTTGGCATGCGCTACAATATTGTAACTAAAGCTAGCAAGTACCAAAATTTGAGAGATAACTCTCTTCAACACATGCATATAGGAGCAACTCCCTACAAAGGTATACAATTTTGAAACAGACTATAGAAATCGCACCTGGCAAAATCATATCAAATGGATTTTTTTTAATGAAATAACTCTGTTCAAAATCGAATCTCGTGAATGTTGAAAGTTATTCTTCTACCAAAAAACTGCAACTTGTGAAGATAATGCAATTACTTTAATACAAGTTGGTGGTATGTCTGAGTTTCATTTGAACAGCTCATATAAGTTGTTCTATTCAAATTTTATTTTCATGTTTTGGTTGAGATTTCCTTTTGTTGACCTTGAGCAACTTGCCATGTATATATAGCAATATTGAGGTAGCAGCTGCTGAATTAGGTAAACTTTCTCATAATCTACAATTACTTGTATAAAATGGGTGATAATTACTGAAACTTTTTAAAGATTACAGGAAATTCCTTTGCAGCTCGATAAAAGGTAACATGAAATACGATGTAAATAAGATTGCAATTGAACTTATAATACCTAATGCTAATTGTATAACTTATCAACTTGGGTGAAAGAGCTCAAGCAAAATTTAGTTCTATGGAATTTGGAGAACTGATTATGAATGTCAGGACTAACAACATAAAACTTGTGTCAATAATTCACTTCATTATTTCCTTGGAATATATAGAGAAGCTGGTTAATATTGATACTAGAGGGAAGCAAACACTAATCCCTGCTAAATCAAATCCTAATTCCAGCGGATGCCAAGGAAAATAAAACTCCAATAGCAAATTTAATTTCTGTATATATCACACATAATAAAATAGCAAATCTTCAACCATTTTCTATTGCAAGGAGCCAAGGACTACTCTGCTTGATTGTAGATGTATGTCATGAGTTGCATCAGTAATTCTATCAGTGTCTTGTCAGCCACATATTGGAAAAATATAGGTCTTAGATGATTTTATAGCAAGGAAGCCTCTCTAATGGCTGAAATTATCCTACAAACCACACAACTAAAGCCATCCTGAGATTCTGATATTAGTAACATATGGTGGAGCTGAATCCAATCAAGCATAAAATTAAGAATATCGGTTTAACAATGAAGTTGATCTAGTTCTCATTGACATGTAAGAAAATATCTGCCTAGTTTTATCACTTCATTTTTCTGAAAAATTAAGGGATAATATGATAATAACAAAATCTCATTAAACTCTACTCCTCTGATACATGTGATAACAGCAAAAATAACAAATGTAGACCTAGACCATTCTCGCTTAGGGAGATTTTCAGAGACGATCTACTACCTTAATACATATTCTCTACCAAGTTTTTCTGAAATCAGAAAACCTCGCAGAGTCGCAAATGATATGGAATATATCAGATATATTATATGGGTCATACTAAGTAGAAGAAGAAGACCAACCTTACTCAAATCATAATCAAAATGTGGGAGCTGTGATGGGAAAAATCTCCAACAAGAACTTATGGTTTAGTAGCTGGAAATTCGATTCAAGGATGAAATTTCTTCATTTAGTTTCCTTTCCAGCCCAGGTACATCGACGCATGTCAGATCACTGACCTGTAACAGCCAATTAATGCACTTGGTTAGCAGCCTGATAACCGTAAAACCCACCAAAACCTAGTAGTCAATGAACGATAATACCTCAGATTGGATGGTGTGAATCAGTCCTCCATCAATTCTGGTAGAAATACAGCTAACAACATCAAGTCCTTCTTCAAGCAGTAGTTCTAGCACCCTTGATAGGGTCAAAGCTTGAGCTCCAAGACCAGTTCTGATCAAAACTTCAACACCATCAAATGATTGGCGAACTACAGCACTGCTTGGGCAAGAGTCGTTAGAGCTCGTTCCTTGGTCAAAGCCACTTGAACTTGATAGCTTCTTTAACTCATCTCTCTTGGCATTCAGTTCATCGATCCTATTTTGCAGGTCTTTTATATAGCTCACTGCCCCGTGCATATGATCTGATATTGCACGCTTTCCCTGAAACCCCATGAAAAACCATAAACTCATAATTATGCCAAAGCCAGAATGCAGTTTCTTCCATTATAGAAGAAGAAGCAGCAATAGCAGTGATGTAAAAAAGCAAAAATGGGTATCCATTAATTAGAAAAGTAATTTCTGCATATGATGTATAATTAGACAAAGAATATTAAAAATTGAATACAAGCTGTTCACCTTGATGTACTCGAGAGGGAGAAGAGTTCGAAGAGAAGCATAAAGGGTAGCCATTTCTTGCCTCCTTTGCCTCTCAATATCCCTATGCATCAGCTTTTTCTTATCATCATCATTACTAATTTCGCTTTTGTCACTTGCCAATAATTTTCGTTGCAGGCCTCTACTTCCCTTATTACTGTACAGATTACTACTACTGCCATCCATGGGAACATAATCCAAAATCTTATTCGGTTGTGTTTTTGAGGGTTGGAATTGGAATTAAGAAACATGAAAGAACATCTCATCCACGGCTTAGGTGTAAAAGGAACATTTACGGCTTGTTTGGATTTGGGATTGTAGACAAGATTTTCCCCCGAGGGGGCAATAAGAGGCAGGCAATTAAAAGCAGTGGACACGTTTGCTAGGGTGTGAGATCTTGGATGGGGCCTAAGATGTCAAGATTCCTTATAATCTTCAGGCAAGTATAATTAAGATCATGAGATATCTCTACCCATACTATAAAGCCCCCTGTGGACAGTACTGTATTTTATATATTGTACAGCTGATAATTAAACCACCTACCCTCGTTTTAAAAATTAGAAAAATCAAGTATCTATATGGATTTGCCTTGTTTTATAAGCCTTCCCTTTCAAGAAATCAAATATTCCTATTTGTTTATTTGAAGGAAAATAAAAATATTATTATTTTATGAGTTTGTTTATTAAGCATGCTCAGTGAAATTTTTAAATTTCCTTAATTGTTTTAAAATATTATCACATTTTTATTACTTTTATATGAATTATTTTTTTTAAAAAATATAAGCTAATGGGATATGTAGTTACCCTTTTCACTCTGATGGTAGAGATTTTAAATTCATCTGGTGATGGATATTGAGATAAATGTTCGGGTTACTTGATAAAGATTTTTTTGTTAATTTTTAAGGAAAGTAACTCATAAATGTGCTGCACTGTTACAAAAGTTAAATATATATATAAAGACTAATATTGCATTACTACTATTCCAAAAGATAAACATATCGATAACAACGTAATGTTTAAATGATTTTAATGAGTTTTGTTAGCCAATTGGACATATCATTCGAGATCATCTTTTCACGTTAATTTATTAATTCCAGCACTATCTTTTTCAGATTTAAATCTAAGACTTTAAAATTAAACATTAAAATTATAATTAAGTATTATATTCATATAATTAATTATTATATAATAATAAAATTACAGTCATTGAACTAACAAGTTAAAATATAATTAAATCTGCATAGAATGAGATTTGAATTTAAGAATTTATAATCCTAAATTTGCAGTTTAAGTGTTTGATTTTTCTTTTTTTTTTTTTTTTGGAGAGCATGAGCATCAGCTAGTGCTTGTTAATTAGGGAAGCATTTCTCACGGGTGTTAGAAAGGCATTTCATAGGTCAAGGAAAAGAATGGGACCTTGCCTTAACGATCTAGCTAGCAGTGGGCCTGGGTTTGAATTTTGCCTTTCGTTTGGGTTATTTCTTCGACTTCATATATTTATTTTACTACTACGTACACAAACCACATACACAAAAATAAAAAATAAACAATAAAAAATGACACATCATTCTTTTGATTTTTCCGAAACACCCTCAAACCCGAATGTTTGAGAGAGAAGAAGGTGAGGGATATGGAGTGTTGGTCAATCAGATTTGGGCTGATTTGACATTGATAGAGTCGGATCCGACCTTTTAGGTTGATTTTCGACTTCGTCGATGCCGGATTTATCTTTTCCGACGACCCTCCCCCTTCTTCGATTCTCCGCCCCACTTTCTCGAATCTCTTTTCCCCTCCCTGTTCTCGAACTTTGCCGCCCTCTCCTTTGTGGTCCTGGCAGACAGCAAGGCTAACGTCGACAGGCAGGGAGAAAACCAAAAAAAAGAAAAGAAAAAGAAGAAAGGGAGACATTAAATTGAAAAAGAAGAGCTTAATAAATTCGAAAACATCTTTAACTTCAAGGACTTTAAAAAAAATACCGATTATGAGTAAAATATAAAATGGCTCTTGAAAACACAATTCTCAAACCCTTAATTGGCAAATAATTTGATTGGAATAAATGAGGTTCAATAAACTTGGAAAAGCATTATATTTTTAGAATTTGAAAAATGGGTTTTTTTTTTTTTTTTCCTGCGAAAATCAACGCGCGAGCTTTCAAAGTGGATTGCAAGATAAATTTGATGTAATTAGTTAAAATATGGAGTATCCCAACGTCAAGTTACTTAATTTTTTTTAAAAACAACTTTACTTACCATTCTTCAAACACTTATCAATTATTCTAATATTGGAATGTAAGAAAACAAATTAAGGTATAATAACAAATCATAATTTCTAAATTAATAATATAAAAAATTATGTTCTTATAAATAATATAATAAAAAATTTTGGTATATTATAACTTATAATTGACTTTTTTCTTTATTTTTTTGTTGGAGATTTTGTAAAGAATATATCTCGAAGCAATGTAACTTGTGTTGTCGAGTTAAATAAGTTATCATCAGCATAATTTGATTCATGTATATTTATATTATTTAATAAATATGTTAAATTTAAATTATATTAAATATTAAATATATTATCCACAATTAATTGAATTCATAAATATCATATATTCATAAATAATTAAATTTGTGAATAATTAGATCATTTTGGATTTAATTTATAATTAATTAATAATAAATATGACTCTAGATTCAAGATTTTAAATAACATCAAATACTATTCATAAATGTCTAAATTTATGAATAACAAAAGCATACATTAGTGTTAAATTAGATGTTATTAAATAAACCTTGATGATGCGTAAAAAACAAAAAAACAAAAGAAACTAACATGGCAATTTTGTTAGTATTTAAGCATGCAAGATATCTGGGTAAGTATACTATTTTACTTCCTGTAAGATTTTAGCTTAATGACAAAGAAGAAATTTTAAAATTTTGAGATCCTAAATTCAAACAATCTCATTATGTATGTATGCGTTTAATTGTTTAATTATGTTTTAGTTTATTAGTTAATATTATTTAATGATCATAACTTAATTATGATCTAATTTCATTATTCATTTACTATTCTAAAGTTTGAATTTTTAATGTAAGGTTCTTTGATTCTTCAACAAAGTGCCTACTTTTAAGTATTTTAATTCCAGGCATTAGCTTACTTACCTTTCTTTTCTTTTTTTTTTTTTTTTTATAGTGTAATTATCAAATAGTGTATGTATAATACTCTTTTTGTCACGTAAACATTGTTTTATTTGTATATTTTTAGTTGTCATAAATTTATATTTCATTTTTTTAAAATTATTCTTACATTTTTTACCACCCACTTCTTTATCTTTTTTCTATTTAAAGGTAATTTTGTAAAGAAAATTTATGATTAATGAAAATAAAATTTTAATTTAAAATTTAATTTGAAATTTAAAATACATGGGACGAATGTCATATTTATGTTTTGTATAGTTTATCACTATGCATTTACAAGTAACTAAGAGTACTCTTTGTATTATAAAAAGAAACCAAGATGAAAATCCTCTCAATAAAAGCTAAAAGAAAGATTTGAAAATGAAGAGCATGAAGTGGATCTCCTTAGTGAACCATCAGGAAAAAATTGATCAGTATGTCATTTATCCCAAACACAAGAAGCCAGACAATCCCCAACTATTTTTTTCAAAGAAAACATTTGAAAGGCCAAAACCTTAGCCAAGAAAACCCTTACCCTATTATGCCATTGGTTTTGTTTACATTGCTAAAGAAGATGCAGAAAAGGCTAAGCTTTAGAAAAGTTGTAAACAACAATTCAACAATGTTGTTCCAAATGTTTCTTCTTAACTTTTTCCTCAAATTTGCATGATGCAATCTATTAGATCTTCTTATGATGCAAAATTTCCTCTTTTTTAGGAATTCAACAAAGATCAATACAGACATATCCTAAAAATCCCAAATCCCATGATAGAGATGAAAATGGAAATCAAAAAAGAATATCTCCTGCAAAAGTGGTCGTGAATTAGCAAATAAAAAACTATATTCTTCAAAATGTAGCCCTGCATAAGATAGATAACAAGTTAGACCAAGTGAGCTAACATTTTGACCAAAATCTTGTCAATCTCCAAAATATTATTCTTGACATCTAGGCAAGAATGAATACTATAGATCAAAGCTCAGACAACTGGTTGAATCCAACAATGGCTACACTTATATTTTTGTTGAAAGAGAAATAGAAATGAAAAGTCTCAAGATTAAGCTTACAGGTCTTAGAATCAACTCTGTCAAAAACAATAGCAATAAGCTTTCAAGCTAAAATATCTTTGCCCTAGTTAACACTGGAATGCATGATACTCTTTACCAATGATACACCTCACTTTTACCTCCAAAACCTTTCTTCATCCCATTCCAATACCAACCTAAACAAGCACATTGGTATTCACACCTCCATCCACATCCATTACCTCATACCCTTAATTAATACCTTTTTTTTTCACCCCTTTCAAAACAATCCAGCTTATGATTTCTTTCGCACAAAATATTTTTGCCATCTTACTCTAGCAAATGGCATAAGAAAATATTTCTTAGTTTTTAATTAAAAATATCTTTTTTACTAGAGATGAATCATATTTAGACTCTGATGAAGTATTTTTTTAATGATACTGTTGAGATACTCCCATAGATTTTCATAACATTTAATAGTTAAAGTCCTAGATGATAATCTAAAAGTTCATAACCCAGAACCTATGGATAGTGACCAGTAACCTCATCATCTTCTTTAGTCCTATAGTTACTCATCGTCATCTAGATTCTCAATCTTTAAATTGATGACATTTCTCTTTCTTAATGGCACTTAAGATTCCAAGAATTTCTTGTATGGGGACTAGTTGAATTGAATTCTAATTCCAATCTCATAATGCAAAAAGTTTTAATCCATTTTGTTTCAAGACTGGTTGAAACCTTTAAGAACTTTTGGGATAATTTTGGTGAATGCAAAAAGTTATAGTTTCTCCAATGTCCAACAAATACAAAAGTCGTATTTCAATTTTTTGTAATATTTTATGGCTAAGACGTTCATCAAATAGACAAGATCAGAGAGTAATTTTTCAAGTTGAAATGCTATTCATTCCATTTAAAAGATTTTGACATATATTACTAATAGTTTTCTCAATATTTCTACCTTCTTAGTGGTTTTGATGATGTTAATCTGAAATAAAATTTTCTCAACTTAATTTTAGAAAAACTTACCTAACAGACAAGAACTCCGCTTAATCTTGAACTCTTGATTTAAGAAGCATGAACCTTGGTGACATTTATAAAGTTATGATAAAAGCCCTTAACAAGATTTGTAAAGAGCATAAGTACACTTTAGACTTGGTGAATAACTTCAGAAAAATGGATAGACCATGTGCTTATTCATCTATTGGTTTATAGATCAAATATTTTT